TAAGTCATACAGGGAAGGGAGTTTCCTTGAAGCCATTTCTCTGGACATAGAGGACATAGAAGGGTGGGCGAGTTCCTAACCATATCTGATTTCCAGAAGCACCAGGTGAAAGTAAAGTTCTATACCACCACACCTGGACTTGTCTGTCATAGCACTTAACCCACTGTGCCACTGAGCAATTGAGTGGTAACTGGCTGTTTTCTGCCTCCCTCACTAAGCTGCAAGTGCATTGGGAGGGGGAACGATGTTTTGGCCAGCTGTCCTATGCTGGACCTCTAGTGCTAGATCATGTAACAAATCCCCCTCAAGTACTCATGGAACACATGGATATACACTTCCTGACAGCCTCAGCTGGATCAGGTCAACAGGCACAGCTGTTTAACTGATTACCTAGCCCATTCTGTCCATTTGAAATGAAGGCAAGCTGAACAGACAATTGTAAGTTAGTTTTCTAGTAGCTACATCATAGGATGAATTGTGTCCCTCCCTCCCCAAATATGAAGTCCTAACCCCGGTACCTCAGAAAGTGATCTTATTTTGAAATAGAGTCATTGCAGGCATAACTGGTTAAGGTGACCTCATTGGATGGGCCCTAACACAATATGACTGGTGTCCTTACGAAAAGGGGAAATTTGGACACAGAAATTCAGAGAGAATGGCATGTGAAGACTGAAGTTACGCTGCCACAAACCACAGAACATCACGAGAAGCTAGGGGAGAGGCATGGAACAGATTTTTCTTCATAACCCTCAGAAGGAACCAGCCTAGTGATACCTTGATCTTGGACTTCTGGCCTCCAGGACTGTAAGACAATAAAGCCACCCAGTCCGTGGGACTTTGTAATGGCAGCCATAACAAACTAATACACTACATTTAAAAAGGAAAATAAACAGATAAATTTTATATTGTATAAAACATAATTTCAACATGCAACCAATATAAAACTATTAATGAGGTATTTTACAAAATTTTTTCAATTCTAAATCTTTGAAATCTGGTGTGTATTTTACTGTTACAGCACATGTCAATTTGGACTCTCCTGTTTCAATTACTCAACAGCCAATTGAAGAGAGGGGCTCCCACCTTGGACAGTGCTGAACTGACGTGTGACCTGCCAGCATGCTCAGCTGCAGGTTTTTACCTGGACATGCATCTTGGGAGGATTTTCTCTCCATATTGCAAAGCTGTCCTTCTTGTTCCAGACGGGATATACATTAACTTTATCAGACCCATGCTGCTTACCACTAGGGCCAGGACCCTACATTTTCCAGCTTGTTTTCATTTGTTTTTATAAATCCATGAAGGCAAAATGCAAGACAATGTAAGAATAACTGCACAGGTGCTCTGTGCCCCAGAAGGTCCCTGGAACAGAACTGTTGATTAGAGTCACAGGGCACAGCCAGTCAGGAGACCAGCACCTTTTAAGAGCACCTACTGTGTGCCAGGTATTGTGCTGGGTGCATACACAAATAGGTGTATGCAGACCTTAAAACAACCTTATAAGGCAGGGATTCTTACTGTACCTATCTCACAGAGGAGCAAAGCAAGGCTCATAGATATTGTGACTTGCCCACGTCAGCCAGCAACCAGCCAGTACCTGGTATAGTAGGGAGCTAGACTGGTGTGTGTGTCTCCAAGGTCTGCTCTTGTCACCTTTGTCAGGAAACCCCCAGTGCTCAATGGTCCACGTACCTAAAATTCAAATCCATTTAAATTGTTTTGGGGTGTATTTATTTGTATCCATTGGAATATCCAAAAATTAAATACAATTTAAAACACACTCGATTGAAATAATTTTCTGAATAATTGGAATGCTATCTACTTTTGATTGTGCAGTTCCTACTACCCAGAAAATACTGTTGATTTATTAGATAGGAAATGAGTTGAGTTCACTGTGCTTTAAAATCTTCAAAAATGTTAAAAAAAAAAAGTGGTAGGAAAAAAAAAGATCCTTGAATGGAAGTGGTTTTTGTCTGCCTGAGGGGCCTCCCCCAGACCTACGGATGGGAATCTCCTCTACTTCTCAAGGTTTGTCTAGTCTGCCCACCTCAGGCTCTTATGCCAGCCCCTAGTGGGGTATTTCCCCATGTGCCTCTGTTAAAAGTCTGGAAAGACTCTAATAGGGTGGGACTCCCATCTGAGGGGCCAAGGGATTCAAGTGGCATTCTTGGGGCTAAAAATAAGAACCTGTGGCAGGCCTTCTGAATCATTTCCCAGGGTGCCTTTCTCGGAGAGGCTGTTTGGAAAGCTAAATCTTACAGTTCCCGGGACACTGACCTGATCTGGAAGACCAGAAGTCTTGGAATTTCTAGGATATGGACTGTCATGGAAAATCAAGGCCTTTTGGTAGGAACCTGGGACAGCTATAAGGCAGAGCCAGGAAGGTGATCTCCGTTTCTCTGAGGGCCCGAGGCCCACCCCCTTTCCTCCTCCAGGGCTTTTGTTGTGCCAGGCTGTCCCTCCTGGTCACCGTGGATGGGTGTGTGAGGAAAGGGCTCCATTCACCTGCATGGGCACCAAAGTCATGTGGAACTTGTGCCCACTCCCCACTCAGCTCCAGGAAGGAGTTAAGCCATAAAGAGGCACCCAGGCGGAGGTCTCGGAAGAGCAGGGCTGTGTCCCGCCGCACCAGCCCCGTCATGCCCAGTGCCTTCTGGTCCGAGTAGGAGTGTTCCTCGGTCTCCCCACCTGTCAATGTATGTAGGGGGCTGAGTTGGTCTTTTCTCTTTCTGTGTCCAGTCTCAACACGCAGAACCTCAGGCATCCATGCCCCTAGAGACCGAAGAATCTCTCTGATCGCTTCAGTAGGAACAAGGAGATGACTCCTTCAAACCCAAGGAGACAGCTGGTCTCTAGTCCTTGTCCCCGAAAGACACAGGTGTCCCAGCACCCCCAGGCCCCCAGGTTTGTGGGTGTGGGACTAACCAGCATAGATGCTGACATACTTGGAGAGCACGCTGAGGGGCAGCAGGGGGTCCATGAGGCTCAGAGGTGAGAGGGAGAGGCGGTAGACTGCAGCACTGGGACGGGGTAGGCTGCCATGATGCCATCTGCAACCACACCCCATAGGCTGCTGCCTGAAGGGATACAGTGAAGCAGAGGTTTCTGTCTGTATGTCTTCTGTGAGGCATAACTGCTGGCCTATTGAGCCCCGCCACCACTAGCTAATGACCGGTAAAATCCGTCTTTTGGACATAACTAGACTCCGCGGGGGTCACCCTACCAGGGAAGCCTTGAAAGCCCAGATTTCTCACGTGTTGGCTCTCAGCCTCGCCTTCCCACTCACGTTCCCACGTAGGGATCCCATAGAACGTACCTCGCCCTCCCTGAAGGACAGCGGGTTGTCCCTTAGCGTCCGTGTGTGTTCGTTCCTGTTGTCCCTTAGCGTGTGTGTGTGTGTGTGTGTGTGTGTGTGTGTGTGTGTGTGTGTATGTTCGTTCCCGCCTTTTCCCTGCCCTCTGTCTT